CCCATGAACATATTAGTATTTTAGCACCTCACTAGCGTTCAAACTTCAGTGTTGGTAGTGTTCAAACTTGAATAACAGTTCTAACCAACACAATAGGAAATGGGGAATTATTTGTACAGTTCTAGCCAACAATACATTTATAATCAATTTTAGGTAGTTTAAAAACTTTGTACTGGAAGGTTGAAATGGGAAAATTATCCTTGTATAGCTCCTTAACCTTCCAAGTTGCTTCATTTGTGGACCAACTTCCATATTATAGAACTTCAATAGTTGCCACAGTGGGCCATTTTCCATATTATAGAACTTCTACAGTTGAAATGGTATGGTGTGAGTTTTTAAATTGTTTTTGGAAATATTTTTTATATAGTTTCATGAGGCATTTGATAATAAGAATTTTTATAATTACTACAGATTTTTACTAAGGAAATAAATTCTTTGATATATTCAAATTTATTTATCAACAAATTTTATTATTTAAATTTGTGATGAAAATTTTCATAGATAATAAATTCCTTGTTTATTTATCAACTGTAGAATTTATATTATTAACGGACACTTTCATTGGTAATGTATTCTATGATTCTTTTTGTTAATAAATTTTGAGGATAAATAATAACTATGAATTTCAATGGATATTTTTTGTCAATAAATTGAGTGTTAAATTTTTCATTCAATTTGATAAAAATTTTATATATGAAGAGGAGATGAGTGAGAAAAAGAAGAGAATGAAAAAAAAAAAGGTAAAGGAGAACAACAAGAAGGCTAGAGCTTGTGGCGATTACAGGGACGCAAATAGTGACGACTTGGAGACAAATTTTCATAGGTAATAAATTCCTTGGTTATTTATCAACTGTAGAATTTATATTATTAACGGATAGTAACGTATTTTATGATTTTTTTTTTGTCAATAAATTTTGTCAATAAATAATAACTCTGAATTTCAATGGATATTTTTTGTCAATAAATTGAGTGTTAAATTTTTCATTCAATTTGATAAAGATTTTATATATGAAGAGGAGATGAGTGAGAAAAAGAAGACAATAAAGAAAAAAAGAAGGTAAAGGAGAACGACAAGAAGGCCAGAGCTTGTGACGATTACAGGGGCGAATGATGATATAATAGTGACGACTTGGAGACAATGCAAAAGTGAGTCATTTTCCATATTATAGAACAAATGATGATATAATAGTGACGACTTGGAGACAACGCAAAAGTGAGTCATTTTCCATATTATAGAACTTCTACCGTTGAAATGGTGTGGTGTGAGTTTTAAAATTGTTTTTGGAAATATTTTCTGTATAGAGTTTAGTAAGGTGTTTGATAATTTTTGTAATTAGTAACGAATTTTTATTTCTCATAATAAATTTGTTGATAAATCCAAATTTATTTAAAAATAAATTTTATCAACAGAATTTAGAACTTAAATTAGTAATGAAATTTTTTATCGTTAATGATTTCGATAGTTAGATTTGTTGGTAAGTTAGAATGTGTATTAGTAACGAATACTTTAATTGGTAATGTATTTGACGATTTATTTTGTTAATGAGTTACGTCGATAAATTATAACTCTAAATTTTAATGGATTTTTTTGTCGACAAATTAAGCGTTAAATTTCTCATCAAGTTTGATAAAAAAAATTATATATAAAGAGGAGATGAGTGAGAAAAAGAAGAGAATGAAGAGAAGGAGGAGGTGGAGGAGGATGACAAGGAGGCCAGAGCTTATGGCGATAACAAGGGTGCAATGATGATGACAATGACAACTTGGAGACAACGTCAATGTTAAATAATGACTCAGAGCTGCGACAACAGTGATTGCTAGAGTTAAAGTAGGTGAAGATAGAAGAGAAAAATGAAAAGGAAGAAAGAGAGGAGGAAGAGGGAAATAAGGAAAATGAGCTAACAGTGGCACCGGTTGATAAAGCGACGATGGTGAAGACACGACAAAAAGGAAAGGAGGAAGAAGAAGAGGAAGATAAGGAGAAAGAAAAAGACTTAGTTGCTAACTTTACAAGATGAAGTTTATCAATGGTCAAAATTCAACAATAATTACCAACTAATATTTACTAACAAACATTTAGATATTTATCGACGAAATTGTTGTCATCAGTAATTATTGATAAATCATAAAATTTATCGATAAAATTTATTGACGATTACTTTAACGATGAATTTTTATTGTTGGTTATCCATTGGTAAAATTGAAATATCAATGAATTTTTGTTATTTCTAATGAATTATGTTTGTCGATACTATACAATTTTCTTGTAAATGGTTTTATTTTTTTTTTTTGGCTTTTTGGTTTTCTCTTTCATATATGCATATTAAAAATACCTTGTAAAAAAAGAATTATTAATAATTCCTTCATAAACATGATAACTCACCTTGTAGTATCTACATAATTATCAAATAATGAAGATAAAATTTCTAGTTATACTAGTTAAACATGAGTTTAGACTAGTGCTAGTCTATAAAACTTAAGCTTTTTTTCTCCTTTTTGTTATTAGGTGATTTTCATAGAAGATTATGATATTTGCACATCCTATTTCTAAGCATTGTTTGTAATTTGTCAAGGCAAAATTTGTTTTACAACAAAAGTGTTAGCATAAAGACAATAATGTATTAAAATCTGAAACAAAAGCAAACTCAAAGCATCTAAATAAGATCTTTTTGTGACTTCTATAGATAGAAATAAAGTCATGCATAAAAGTTTGTTAAATGAACGAATGTAAAAAGACTTAAAAGAAACATACGTGATTTGTGCATTTTCATTTTTAATTTCTAAATGCTTCGCATATATTGTCTACTTGAAAACATAAAGAGAAAGTTATATTTGTAAATCAATAAACAATTCTCTTTGGTATCAAATAAATCTTTGGTGTAAACTTTTCAAATTATTTAAGTTTTAGTCAACCTCTTTCTAGAAATAACTATTTATTTCAATAAGTTAGTTGATAAGTGTTTAACAACTATTAATTGGTTAATATCACAAAATCTATATATTAGGGTATAGAATAAGTGGTAGGTTGGTCGAGAGGTATAAGGGTCTTCTAGCAATCCGTAAGATATTTTCAAAATACGTTTCAAAATGTGTATTTTATAATGTAAATTTTTTAAAATAAATTTTGGACTGTGAAATCCGAAAAATATTAAAAAAGTACTTTCGAATTTGGTGAATCCACTTTTTCTTCTCCTTCCTTTCCACCTCACGCTTCTTTGGGTTCATACCAGGTGTTATAGGATCCGAAGGAGTAGTAGCGTCTGGTGTGGGACTGGAAGATTAATCATTTATGATTTTTATTATAATTTAAATGAGGGTTAAAATGGAGATATCAAATTTTATGGGATTAGGGAAGAAAAAAAAAGGGATGTGTAGAAATAAGTAGCCTTCTACAAATTGGACCTACAATAAGCCCAGCACAATCAATCCCCATATACACTTTTACACAATAAAACACATACTACAAAGAAAAACTATACTTTAACACTCAAAAAAGTCAGATCCACATACAACTATTTCAATAATATATTAATATATATTGGTGTTTTAAGTTAAAAAATAAAAGAAATCTAATTAAAATATTAATATTTTGGATTATGTAATAGATGTATTTTGTTTTATGGATGTGAAAGTATCAAATTTGGACTACAAAATGGGTAGTACTACATGCGAAAACAAACAATTCTAACCATAATCAATTGGGTAACGATAATAAAGAGGAATAGATTGAGAAACAAGCTTATTAAACTGGAGAGTTTATGAAAACTCGAGAGTTTATGAAAACTCGAGAGTTTATGTAAATTCGTGAGAGTCAAGAAAACTCGTGAGAATCAAGGAAACTCGTGAGAGTCAAGGAAACTCGACTCGTAAAAATTTACTTCAGATGAAAAAATATTGTATAAATAATATTTTAATTCAAATAAGTCTACAAAATTATATAACTTTAAATAAATAAAATTTATAGATATATTGCTCATAAAAATAAATATTGTAAAACATAAATATTTGGATTATTGTCATTAATTTTGATACATTTCATTAAGGAGGTGAGGCGATGACAATGATCATGGATAGAGACAGAGGGACGCGAGAAATAGTGACAATCAGGTCATGAAACCCTAAACCCCAAACGACCTCAATTTTTTTAGTTTTTCCACTTTTCAAGCTTGTAGAATCGCTCCAAATTCGCGATTTTACATAATCCTACCGATTTCACAGTCGATTTTACCGAGTTTACGCAAAAAAGAGTTTACTTCCAAGTTAACTCAGAAGTTATGTATGGAAAAGTAAACTCATACGAGTTTATGAATTAACTCGAGAGTTTGATAACCATAGTGACAAACAATCTCAAACTAAAAAAAAAAAAAAACAACTTGAGTAATGAATATCAAATCTTAGAAAGGAACATTGTTGAAGAAGAAAGCATAAACACTACACAAATATCAAGCAACGCTGACAAGTCGGCACCTTACGCTTGCATAAGCTACCGTTTTTATTCTTAAATTCATGACCTGACTCAGGTTTATATATCCTAACGCAATAGAGCCAAATTAGAACCATAACTTCTTATAGTAGCCCAATAGGCCTAAGTTAACGGAAAAACATACAACATAAATAAGTTCTCTAGTAGCACAAGGGAAATTCCAAGTTGAGAGAATCCCACCTAAAATAACTAACCATATAAAATTTCTCTCTTCTCTTACCTATTATTCTTCAAGAGTCAACATCCATGATTGAAGGAAATACAAGAGGGACTCCGGATGTAGCTTTTACTAGGCTAAGGCATTTCTCAAATCCCAAACTATTGAAATCAATTTTGAGATGAAGTAATTAGTGAAGCTCTAGCCACAATATTGCTCTGACTTTTAACTGACTTTAGCGTGAGGAAGCCTCACCAACTTTAAAGAGTAAAAAGTTATCATAGTATTAGCATCTTCACATTGGCATAAAATTTTCTAGTTGAAAATGAAAATCCGCACTTTTATTTGTAGGTTATACACTAGGAAAATACATTAACATAAAATCCCTGAGACCAGGGGAAGGAGGTAAACTCTCATACATGCTTGTTTCCGTTCAATATTATCGGCTAAAGGTTGCCTTAGCTTGAAGTAAATTATAAGCATTTATAGAACTAAAATAAGAAAAGACCAAATCATAGAGTTGTTTGCTCTCAGTTGCATTAAAAACTACGTAGCTGACAATGACTATTCTGTAAGCCAGATGTGTTCCTTGACGTATCATCCTTGAGTTCCATTTGCATTGGATTGCTTCCCTTGTTGGGGTTTTGCATCCCCCATCTCCATGAATTCCTCCACTGTTGGGGCTTTTTTCCCCGTATCACCTTTATTATCTCGGTATACGAAATACAATATCAGTTGCATTGCCCCCAAAGCAGAACCAACACCATTAGGTACCTGAAAAACCATACATGAACCTTACTCTATTCTTCTTCACTACCAATAAATTAACATAAAACTACCTTCTACGGTTAAAAAGTTAAAATTGAAAAGTGACTTACTGCAACAAATGGGTCACGGCCTAGCAGACCGAAGATAAACCAAGAAGTGCCGCAGAGAAACACAAACAGCGACAAGAAGAAGGGCATGAACTCCACGCTCTTGGTTTTGATCACTAGTCTCTGCACGTAGTTTTAAATCCACCATTAACACACCCACACTTAGTTGGTTTTGAATCAACAAGTATTAGTAGGATTCAATTTGATGGAAGATTAGCTTACCATAATAGAGAGTGGAGAGCCATACATGATTATGGAAAATATTGCAGCAGCAAAGCCGCAGAAGAGCTTTCTTGAATTGCCGTGAAGGGCAAAAAGGGACACAAAAACAACAGCAGAGAACACAGAGAGCACGAAGGTGAAGAGACCAAGAATTTTAGCCTTCTGCTTTTTGGGGGCCAATACGATGAAGATCAACACGTATACGATCTCAATCAAAGATCCAGTGCCATTCACTGTTGACACTAATATATTGTGGGGAGACACAAAAGGTAGACCATACCTGTGGATTTTAAAAATTACCTACAGACAAAAAAGATTTACCAGGAACTAGCTATCTTGGTTTTAAGGTAGTTTTAATCAATTATACACTTCAGATTAGAACGTGAGTCATAATATGTAAAATAGATTACGAGAGCAAACAAACCAATCGGTTACAAATACAGAACAAAACAACGATATACCATATAGAAGCTAGCAAGATAAGGATATATAGTTTCCTACGCAAAGATTTATTGAGCAATTGAAAGCGAAAATTCAACCACTGTTTGAATTCTAGTCCGACAAATTATTGAGCTCTCCCAAAAAACAAAGTTTGTCCCTGTCATTTGCACACTTTAATGATTAAACCAATAGACAAACAACTTCTGTCAATCAAAAGGCAACTTACGAAAATATTATTATCCGGGTATAAGAATTGACAATTTACAATTAACATCAGGAAAAAGGAGGCATAAATAAAGACAATTGAAAGAAGTGACGAAAATGAGCACCACAAAATTTAAAAAGAAAGTACACGTGATCTGATAGAAGATTTGGAGGAGGAGGAGATCACAAAGGCATGCAGTAAAAAGAAAGAACACGCGAGAAGCTTACCATGCTGAAAGGAGACAATTGAGCAGTGTCATGACATATGGAATGCCCGAGAATTTCTCTGTTGATCTGTTCTGTATAATCCTCTTGAATGTGATCCTACGAACCCCAGTTCGTCACAAATTTCACTCAAACTTGCACTATTTCGCATATTGATTAACAATACAAAAACAAATGCTACTTTTATATTCACAGATAGTTGAATTGCTCGATTTGGTATATCATGTTCATGATTTTGAATGAGTTGCCTTTAGCTCCAAAAACTAAGTTCGTAAGACATGGGTTACACATGCACTATTCTATTTACATCACTAGTCAAATCTTTAAAAGGTTCTCTAAGAACAAAAATATATATTTTGAGCATGAAACTCATAATACTGAACAGCAGTCCAATATAAATTAAACAAGTACAATAACAAGTTTTAATATCAAATATCATTTGGCTTTATAACTTAACCCAAAAGGCTATCTCAAAATGTGATTCATCAGAGTTGTTTTATTTATATACATGTACCAATATAGTATACGTGAGACCTCAAAAATAGTTTAACAGGATCCATGGGAAAAAGAAAGTAAAGCCACAACAGTTTAAGAGAGAGAAACGGAGAGGGGAGGAGAAAGCTGTGTAATGCATACACTGGAGCCAAGAAGAGGAACAGAGCGGAAGCATTCCCTGTGCCAGAAAGAAGAACAATGAGAAACAGAGAAACCAAAAGTTCAGAAGCCAAGACTCCACAAGAAAAACTTCCATCAGGGTAACAAGAAAAAATGAGAGAAACTCCTGCAAAACTTGACAGAGTGTTAAACCTACCAAATATGCCAAACAATAAATGTGCAACATCCATGACCTTTGCTCTCTTGTTATCCTTTCTTTTTTTTTTTTCTTTCTGCCTAATCTGCAGAAGAGAGTGGGGAAAAAACTTTGGGAGTTTGGAGTCCCAAAGTGCTGAAAATAAAACCTGTTTCTTTGGAAATGGAAATGTGCTACGATGATAGGAGAGTACAAGTTAGTGGGTATTTATAGGAAAAGGAAAGTAGTGCAAGGTTAAATACAGTATCATACTGTATTTTAGTCTTATCCTTGGGATTCGATGTCGAGAACTGTTTTCCTTCGCAACCGTAATCATAACATAACCATGTATTACAGGGTCTTTGTCATGTGTCTGATTTACGCCAACCCAAAATAATGCAGATGCTTATGCCACATATATATATCATTGTCATACTCTTACATAACTCACGGGATGAGGAAAAGGAAAAAATATATATAGTAGTTCCACATGACATCAACACGAGACATGTGTGCAGTGCAACAGTGCTTCTTCTACCATTAAGGAACTGTTGCAATCAGATTTTAACGTAACAGCAACACATAAATAAATATAATTAACCACTGGGTAAATTTCCCCATGGATCATTTTGTAACTGGACAGGAACCAAGCAGAAAAGGAGCTTGCTGGGTTTCCGAAAGTATTTTTGTTCTTTTATAAATACAGAAAACAGTAAATTAGCCTTGTGACATAATGTCAGTTCAATTGTTCGGACTTTATGTTTCTCTTTCGGGAACAAACTGGGGAGAGAAGAATAGCAAGTAAGAAATTGATTCCAATGCTCCAAAACGTATTTTTCGAGAATTGGAGGTCATAGGAATTGCTGTGTTTTAACAAAAGAACTATATCTGTTGGTTTGGTTTGGTTTGGTTTTGTTTAATTTCCCCTAGACAATCATAATATTCCTGAATCCTTTGGTGAACAACCCAAGGCCTCGATTACGTTGTGAATCGTGCAATTTGCTTTGTAATCTGAAGCTGGATAAAGTTTGTCAATATATAAGTTTCGGATGTAGATCCTCTATGGTTTGAAAATCTAACTGCATTCAAATTATGCTTTATCTATTTCATCAATATTATATTATTGGTTTAGTTATGCATTTTTTTTCTTTTTTTAAGCAATTGACAATAATGAATAATATATAAAGAAAAATATTGAAAAAACACTAATATTATATTATTGGTTTAATTATGCATTCTTTTTCTTTTTTTTAAGCAACCGACAATAATGAATAATATATAAAGAAAAATATTGATATAAGGTATGTTTGATTAATTTTCTTCCATTAATTTATTTTGCACCGATTAACTTTAGTTTGCACCGACTAAATTTCGTTTGCACCGATTAGTTTTAGCTTATGATGCAGTTTTATTCGTCAATTGATAAATCTTGACAGCAGCAGCGAGTGCCTAATCTCCATTGCTTGAAACTTATAGTATATACAATTTTACGATGTGCTATAATGATTTTCTATATTTCAGGTGTGGTAATACTGTAGAAACAAATTAATTTCTTTTTAAAAAAATAAAAATAAAAAGGATGTGGGTTTAGGAGGGGTTTAGTAGTAATATAATAGATAATATTATATTTCTATAAATCATGAAAATCACAATAAATACTGTCAGCAACAAAAAAGCTTAAATTTATATATATATATATATATATAATATATATATATGAGATTTTACCTATTTTTTACAGGTTTGGAAGAGATGCAAAGCTTTTTGTCAAAACATTGGGCTCTTTGTCAATAATAGGTACAAATTGCAAAAGAACATGTGTTAAAAATAAAGTGTTAAAAATCATTACGTTTCCACAAGGTATGTCAAACATAAAAGCGTTATATTTTGATCTTCATTTTATTTAAAGTCGTTCTTACACTTTCGAAACTTGTCAAATAATGTCATAGTTTCAAAGACCAAGGTATGTCTATGTGGGCAGCCATACGCATGTTTTGTTCTTTTGTTTTAAATCCATTGACCATGCATGGCATAGCTACTTACGTGATAAGAGACTTTAAGACCTTTCGTATCCGCGAAACGAAAAGCTTCTAAACATAATCCAAACATGATAACTTTTTTTAATATAGGTGAATAAGAACAAAAACATCATAAAAGAAGAAGAAAAACTGCGTACAAGAATAAGATACCTAATCTCGTTGTTTAATTCAGATGTTGTAATAATTATCTTGTTACTAGAAGAGTTGCTTTTGCTTGAGGTTGAGTTCATGAGGCTTTTGACGCATCCAAACATCATGTGCAAGGAGAACGAATGAGGAAATAGAAAGAAAGAAAGGAGTTAATAGCTTTATTTGGATGCATGGGGCCATTGCTGAAATGGAAAACCTAACAAAATGATTGAATGATGTATGTGTATGTGTATGTACGTATAGAGTAAGTATGAAAGGTGGGATGGTAGATAGGTATTAGGTATGCCCTTTGGAGGACGGCTCTTCCTATGAATTTGTGTGGCTTAGAAACTGAGTTCTCTACTTCTGTTTGGAGAAGCATTAATGATAATGAAACATAACACCATATTGACGCAAACTTCATACCCATACCAACACCCCTAATTTTTTCTATTTCTTTCTATCTTAATTCATATCAAATTAAAGACCTGCACGCAATTTCCCTTGTCATTTTTTAATTATCACACTCTCTTCTTTAGGACTTTGTCTTACTAACTTTCTTTGAAAATAAATAAAGAAAAAACATATTTAATCATATATCAAAAAAAATAACGTCTTGTATGTTACAAATTTAGACAGTATTTTTTGCAACATTATTTTGCTATTTTGGTATTACCTTATTTTATCTCACCCTTTTCTTTATATTTATAACATTTATCATGAAAATACCTGTCCTCACTCACAAGCTACTAAAAATTCGTGTTAATTTTTTTATTATTTATGAAAAGTCGTTAGACTAATAGATTACCATAAATAAGAATAGTCTGTAAGACTCTGGACTCGTGGGTAAAAAAATTTATCATGAAAAGGTATTGTTTGATATAGCAAAGGTGTCAGCACTCTGCTTTAACTCATTGCCATGCGCAGGGGATAACTGTGCAAACAAGCTGCAGAAAAAACATATTTAATCCTTCAATAGGGCAAAAATATCAATTTCTTAAGAAAAGCAAGATTGAGTGAAGAAAACGTAACATTTTATTTAGTATTACGTTAATTAATGGAATCAGAACAAAATTGGTACAGATTTGTTTCTATATGATTATATGAAACAAGATTATAAACAAAATAGCTTCTGGTTTTTGCTGTAATTACTATATTTGAGCTTAGAATTTGTACAGGGAAACACATTGCCAAGAAAGACAAGAAGACAAGAACTATAGACGAAAGCCGTGTAAATGAACTTTTGAAAGAAAGAGTAATATTTGCGGATTCAATAACATAAACTATATAATGTTTTCAATGCATCAAGATAGTATAATTATCAAGATAGGCAACAGAACAATGACTTAACTACAACAAAATTACGAAGCCACCCGACATGAAGAAACTAATAGTGGATTAAGCATAATTTGGTGGTGAAGAAATTAATGTTGCCAACCTTCCCTTCAAGAGATTAACTTTCTTTTCCCAGCTTTTTTATGTCTCCACCGAAAGTGATAAGACTTTTATATCTACACGTCTTTTTTGCTCATTACACCTTTTTCCAAAACTAAGTGTTTTCCAGGGTTTCTAGTTTTTTTTTTCAGTTTACCTTGTTGTAGAACTTCACAAGATAAAATGACAAAATTTAAAGCCTAAGGGAGGAAGTTTTCATGGAATCATACCTCACGGTAGATATTGGTTAAGCTTTTCATGCATCAAATCATTCTGACTTTCTCAAAGAAATTGAGATGCAGTTAAGTTGTAAAAGCACTACATCGCTATCTAGTTTCATTTATTATTCTCACTTTCTCACTTTCTCACTTCCTCTCTTCCTCTCTGTATCAGTCCTTTTCACTCTCTTTGAATATGTTGGCCACTGAACCTATTTTTGGATGAGTCCATGACTTAAATCCCATCAATACCTTCCATTAGTATGGGCATGTTACCAAATATTCCTTCATTTAAATGGTTTAATATTTTACTTGGACTTTTGAAACCTCCAGTTCAGCCTCAAGATGACAGAAAACAACCATCAAACCCAGAATTCTATGCCATCATACAGAACGGTCAACCAAATAGCCATATAAAGTATCATCCTACTCCACATTGATCTCTTGGGCTAAAACTCTGAGACTTTATTTTTTGGAAACTCTATACGGAAGACTATTTTCCTCACATCACCTCGTGCACTGTCATCTTCACGTATCCAACAATGATTGGTTATGTATCTGCTCTCATCTTTATTGAAAGCAATCTGTACTTCATAAGGTAAACCCACAAAACCAGAATCATTGCCTTGAGACAGAACTTTGAGAAATTAAAACACGTCCCATCACGAGGTTCCATAGTCTGTACCATTGCAGGTACGTGTTCCTTCAAAATTAGTTTACTTTATAAATGAGTTTACAGTTTACCCATTACCAACAGTTAAACCAATATTATCGACATATTGGTGATAGTGGACCAGTGAGGAAATTCTTTTCAACTGTAGAAAAATATATATTAAATATATAGAGAGAACCAGAATATTTTTCAGCAAGAATTCAGAAAAAGATAAGGGTATATAGGTAGAATTATAGGAACACGTTATGTGCTAAGTGAGAATACTTGTGGTGGTTATAATTTAAGAATATATCTATAAGAGAATTCGCATTAGTAATTATGGATAGCAGTTGTTAAATGGTGATTTGATGTGAATTTTGGGTTGCCATGATGGCATCCCAACAAGGTTAGTTGGATTTGATGCTGCAATCGACATATGCCATGATGTAGAGTAGACATGTTGATATTGATGCATTATTGAAAATGGGTTCTAGAAGAGATCAAACTCCATCCTTCTCTGTAGGTAGAATCTGTTTAAAGATTGCAGCTTTATATTCCTTATGCGTTATACGAGTCAAGTTATGATGTAATAGGGAATTATTTGTTTCTAAGAAGTACACGGAAAAACGATAAATAGAAAAGGATGTGGGTCAGTTTTTCAACCACATGATACGAATCGAAATGTGACTTTGAAGATGGTGCCAAGTTTTCTATCCGACTTTGGTTTATGATTGTGTTAAGGTTTGTTTTAGATTC